TGCTTTCAGATGAACTGTCTCCTTTAGTCGAGCATGATATGAAGTACAGACTAATTTGTCACTTGGTGGTGTACCTAGAGTCACACAATTAATAGAGCCTTTTATACAAGAGGTATTTAAGAATGTGCTGTGTGCCGGGGCTTTTCTATATGCTCAGACAGACAGTAACAAGCCTTGGGTGGGGGGGAGCACTAATTAAGGTCCTTATGCCACATGGACCAAAGTTTATAGTTAAAAACATTAATGTTCCGGAGTCAATTCTCATGTGTTTGAGAAAGCTGATAGAATGCCAAGTTTCCCAAATTCTCAGTTAGTAACATTGTGTTAGTTGACTGAAATAGGTCAGCCTAACCTCGTTGTGACCTTTGACCACAATCAAACACAATGGAGTGGACGTTTGCTTTTGTGTTTATTTGCTTTCCAAGAGACACTAGTTAAACATTTACTAGCTTGGCATTGTTTATTAAATCTGACTATTGAGTAAATTCCAGCCTCAAACTTGAAAACTATCTTCACTATAACCAAGAAAACAAAGCTTAATTTTTTTCTGTTTTGCTCTAGGTCAATATTTGGTAGAGTTGGGAAGAAGCAAATCTTTAGATCCCAATCCCCAGAGTGCAGCTTGAAAGCCTAGATTCTTCCACTTCTCCTCATATCCCAACTTTTATGATGCACTAGGAAGTTCAGGTGAGCACATAATGAAGTTCTAGTATATTCCTTTTAATCTCATCGATCTGTATTGCACATAAATGTGGAGGTGCTCTTGATCACCCACTTAGACACAGTACTAGAGTGCAGAACAGCTTCAGTGGACAGAAAGAAGGGGATGGATACTTTCAGACCTGAGAAGCAGGTCTCTGTCCTTAGAAACCTAATATATCTTACTCTAGGTTCCATAACATTACCTAGAATGGAGGGACAGTGTTGACTTTGACTAGGTTCTTTGGTTCCATAGATAAACCAACTTTTGGTTCATAGTATGATGGAGGCATGTTAAAGCCTGATCTAAAAATGGTGCCAAATTCAGAACTTCCAAAATCCTTATGGAAGTCCTGGTCCACTGAGAGATGATATAAACAAACAGTTTTTACATATAAACAAATATATTTTAAGCATCAAATTGTCTATGTTAACCATAATATTAATAATTTCATTTATTGGCAGCTTGCTGGGTTTTTTTCTCACTAAACTATTGAAGGTGAAATGACTTCAATTTCAGAACTTGCTCATTAGTTTTAATTCACAACAAATTACTAATAGTTATTAATCACCATGTAAATACTATTGGAAAGACTCGAAGATTTGTTAAAAGTGCCTCTTCCACTGTTCAAGTAGGATCCTGAGGCAAATTCTGGACTGACCTTGCTATTTGCTCGTGTCACCGTGGCTCCTGAGAGCATCTGTCCCACTGTTTCCTGGGCAACGTGGCAACAGTTCTGCTCTGATGCCAATGGCAGCAGGTATGTGGTTTTGCTCCTTCTTTAGATCATGAACCATTGTGTTCATTTCCTCATTCTAAAACCCACAGCACTAATAGCACGAGAGGAACTAAAAGGCACATATGAAATCAAGCTAAAGACTTGAAAGAGTTAATGCAGAAAGAACCAAGGACTTAGAAAATATACTTTTTAATACCAAGAAGTAACTAAATCACTTATTTGAATTAAGGCATTGGTTAGAATACAAATGGTGTGTGTGTGTGTGTGTGTGTGTGTGTGTGTGTGTGTGTGTATGCATGTTTGGTATATATTATTTTGTTTTGATATATGTTTACATTGTGAAATTGTTAAATTAAGCTATTCACTACCTCTTGCATTTACTTTTTATTGTGAGAACTTTTAAAATCTACTCTCTTAGCTCTCTTCAAGTCAATAATCCTTTATTAACTAGATTTACCTGTGTGGTAGATTGCCTGAATTTATCCATGCCTTCTAAATAGAACTACCTTTGGTAAAGTCCTTGCTACAACCTCCAACTAAGGACGACCATCATTTTTTATACTCTGCTTATATGATCTTGACTCTCTTAGCCCCCGCATATATGTGAGGCTAGGCATTGTTTCTGTGTGCCTTGCTGATTTCATTTAACACAAAGTGCTACAAATGCATTCACACAGATCTCCTTTTGTAGTATTCTATGGTATGTGTGACATATTTTCTTAATCCAGGCATCTGTTGATGGTCATTCAGATCCTTATCTTAGCCATTTTAAATAGTGCTGCCTTGCCGTTTTTCCTGACAACAATTTCTTGACATAATGGAGAAAACTGTCAATAAGACCAAGAATACCAAACTCAAATTATTCTGCATAGCCAAAAAACAAAAGTGAAAAGATGACAAATGGAACAGAATGAAATATCTGCAAGCAGGTCCTGGTTATTTTTACTGTCAACTTAACACAACTTAAACAAGGGGTCCTTGGGAAGAAGGAGTCTTGCTTGAATAGCTGTTTTGGTAGAATTGGCCTGTTATTTCTTGTCCCTGTTAATTTTCTGTCAATTTCACACAAGCTAGTAATCTAGAAAGAAGAATCTCAATTGAGAAAATGCTCCCATCAGACTGGTTGCTAGGCACATCTGAATTTTCTTGATTAATGGTTGATATGGGACTACCCAGCTCACTGTGGGAGGTGTCACCTCTAGGCAGGTCACCCTGGGTTTTATAAGAAAGCAGGCTGAACAAGCCATGAAAGCAAACCAGTAAGACGTGTTACTCAATGGTCTGTTTCAGAGTCTGCCTGCAGGTGCCTGCCCTGCTTGAGTTTCTGTCTTGGTTTCTTTCGGTGACTGACTGTTGTTACCTTGAAAGTATATGGTGAAATAAACCCTTTCCTGCCCAAGCTGTTGTTGGTTAATATTTTACCACAGCTATAAAAAGCAAACTAGAACACCATATCTTTGAGAGATTATCCTGATTGACAAGCAATAGGCAAAGGCCAAGTCAACCATGGGGTGGCTCCATCACAAGGGAGGTGAACCTGGACCATATAAGAAAGTTAGTTGAGCATGACCCACAAAATGAGCCAGCAGGCAGCATCCTCCATGCTTTCTGCTTGAGTCCCTGATGCCACTTCCCTCAATGGTGAATTTTTCCTCTACATATTTGATGAAATAAACCAGGTTGCTTTTGGTCATGGAATTTAGCTCAACAACAAAAGGAAAACTAGACCAATATATATCTAATTAAGGGTTAATATCCAAACTATATATGGACCTCAATTCAATAGAAATAAAACAATTAGTCTGATTAAATATAGAGAGAAAAGACTTGAATAAAAGATTATCAAAAGAAGACACACAACAGATAATGGGCAGGTATCATTGCTTCAAAAATACCTAATAATTAAAGATGTAAAAATCAAGCCGCAAATGACATCATTTAATGCCATTAAAGGTGTTTGTCCAGGAGGCTTAAAAATAAGTCTTTGAACAGGTGTGAGTAAAAGGGGTCTCTTGGACACTTGGAGGCAGGATATGAATAAGTTCAACTATTATGGAAAGCACAACAGAGGAGATTGAAAAATTTAGCAAAGAGCTGCTACGTGACTCAGCAACACCACTACTAGGTGTATAACCAACTAATATGAAGTTATTAAGTCCAAGAGTTACTGCTTTGAGAGAACTCTCCCAAGGAAGAGTGGTGTTCTGTTTGCCTTCTTGTTTTACTTATCTAACTATCTGATTGTGGGAATTCTTTGTTTAAAATTATTGGATTTGGTTTTTGTTTTTGTGTTTTGAGACAGGGTTTCTTTGAATAGCTTTGGCTGTCCTAAAACTAGTTTTGAAGGCCAGTGTGGCCTCCAACTCACAGAGATCCACCTGCCTCTGCCTCCAAATGCTGGGATTGAAGGTGTGCGCCATCACGGCTTGGTTGTCTACATTTAAACTTTTTTCAACTTTACCTATTGATAAATTTGTTGTTTCTTTTATTTACTCATAACATTAGAAGACATAGTCACATGACTTATTGTTTTCCAACAACTTTTTCATTATAGAAGTATTTTTATTGTCTTAATTTTAAAATTATTTATGTTTCTTTCCTCTAACCTTTCCTATATATCCTTTATTGCTCCTTTTCAAATTTTAGGTCTCTTTTTTTTTCTAACACTTTTTTTTAAGCTGGAAATGAATGTACTTAATTTATTCCACTAATAGTTACTATAGCACAAGAGATGAAGTAAAAGTCACTTGTGTCTGATTTACGTCATGAATTATTAAGGCATAGTTAATTAATTCTTTCTGGCATCTCTATAGCTTCTGCTCCCATGGGTTTTCAGTGCTGAGAGCATTTAGGATTGCACCCACGTCTACAGCCTTCTTTTGTGGGTGTAAACCGAACCTGCTGTTATTTTCCAGGACACTGGGTGTCAGTAACTGAACTTGCAGACATGGAAAACGAAGTCAAATAGAGAAAATGATACGGGGACACAGTTGATATTTTCTATGAAATCAGTTGACAAAGCATTATGGGGATGTGGGAGACATTATTGGAGGTCACCTGTGAGCTGGGCAGCATGACTTCCCTCTTTGGTAAATAAGGCTTTGTTTATTTTTGTCTCAGTCTCCCAGCACTGAGTCCTTGAGGCAAGAAGCAACAAGTTCCAGCCTGAGATGCGCTGTATCTTCTTGAGAAGTCTGACATTGGTGGAAGGAGGCCAGAGGACTGCTGATCACTTTCTATATTTCAGTTGCCTCCCAAAGACTTGATTTTAACATAATGGCTACACTGTAAGGAATTGGGTCTTGGGAACTGTCCAAGAAACCCTGTGTACTACGCCTTCCCCCAAGTGAAAAGTTTGTCAGCCAAGCTCTGGATCCCTGGCATATGGCCCATCCTGGCCTTTCCCTTTTGTTACCCTACGGGCTCTGTGTTGTGAGTCAAATCACCGGGCAACCAAGTATCTTCTAGCAGCTACTGTTTACTCCAGACCAGTCTGGAGAAAGGGAAACTATCTAGCAAAGGGAGGCCCTTCCCAGCCTTCTGTGCAGACTGGTACAAAGATCCCTCTAAAATCAGTTCTCTTGGAATAGTCAAGGACCAAGTAGAAGCTACTGCGCCTGTGCTCAGGTGAGAGCCGACAGCTCCTCCCTGCTAAATGCATAGGTTTCTTCCCCAAGTCTGTTTTGCAATAGAAGAGCTGTCACTGTGAACAGGTGGAAAAGAAGTAGTGCCTGTCTGCGTGTTCCTGTGGCTGCAGCTGGCTCAGGCATAGCAGACAAGACAGGTGAGAAATGCTTTTCCTCCTCTCTGTTGGTTTGGAACTGGGGCCACCCTTTGTTGGAGCTGTGGGAGTTTATGGTTTCTGGAAACCTGTTAGAGTACTTTCTCTTGCTACTGCTTCCCCTGTGGATGATGAGGACTCTTTATTTTGTTTTAGTGTTGCTGCTATTGTTGTTGTCAAATATCCAATCAAAGAAATGACTGTACCCTCATATCAAGTGACCCTTCCTCTTTGGCCAGCCTCAACCTGTGTCTGGGGGCAGGGCCAAGGCAAAGTCACAAGGATCACAGTGCCTTCCAGGGAAAACGGACCAGCCGAGTGGAAACTGGAGGCAGATGTGTCTGGAACAAGGTTTCTGTTCCAAAGGGATATAGGACCAAAGCTGTGGCTTCCTTTATTTGTTATGTTCTGTGTGGTTTGGTCCCAGAGAATGTATAACAGAGATGGTTGAACTCTACTCTCTTATGTGAACTGCCTCTGGATTAAGTTCTGTGTACAGAGAAAGAAAGAACGTCTACATCAAACTCCAGGAATACGTCATCCACAGCCCTGGGCTGCAGTAGGATGAACCATCAGGCATCTGGAATAGGCTTGATTTCTGGAATGTAGTGGATCTGATTGCTTCTTGGCAGCTAGTCTTTTCCAATTATGTTTGGCTTAGTCTGATTGTCAAATTACTTTGTAATCCCCAAACTGATCCAGGATGTCTGTAGAGGGGACAGAGACAACTCTGTCTACAAAACTGATTGCCTGTGATGGAAGGAAGGTTCTAATGAAATTTTTTGAACTGTTCTTTCAATAATCCACAATCCAGCCAAAATGAAGGTCATGAATACTATTCCTTAGCCCTTTGTTGAACCAAAAGAGCCAAAAGTAGCATGCTTCCCTAAAATGCTGGTCAACTAAGGCTAGCCTACACAGTTTTACCTTACTCCCATGATGCAGCTCAAGGAAAGATATTGTATGTAATTTGAATAGATTTAATTAAAAATATAAGATTTTTCATAATTAATGTGTGCTGGGGTTCACAGAATTTAGAAATTCTTTTTTGTACTCTCATTCTGTCAGTAAACAAGAAGCTTCATAATTTCAGTTCTTATTGAATTATGGAAACTCCACTGTGGTGAAGTTAACATTTCCTTTTTACGAAGCATGAAGGATGTTTCTGAATGAAATCTGATGCTTTCAACAAGCTACCAAGCAGAACAATGGGCTTCTTTAAGAGCACCAAGTTGTTTTCCTAATGGTTTCACAGAATTCACTATTTGTGCGAGAATACAGTCAGGAATGAGCATATGCCTCAGTCACTTATTCAAGCAAGTTAAAATTAGAAATAAATTTTAACAATTTGAAGCCCTTAAGTTAAAAGTCTATAGGTAGCAGATATCATGAGTTATAGAGAGTATGTTCAATATTATTTAGGCACCATGAACACAACCCAGTCAACAGCAACGTTTCCAGACATAAACTGTTTGATTGAAAAGTTTAACTATAAACGAACAACATTTTTTAAGCCTCAGTGATATAACGGTTAAAAAAAATGAAAACCTCGTTTTTACTACTCTTTTCTCCAAAAATAAAATTTCTGACAGCGAGGTTAGCTAAGCAAAAGCACTGAGAATGAGCCACTGCTTTTATAGTGTCATGCTGACCCATGCTAGTGGGAGCTCACGGGCTCTGAACTAATAGCTGGGGATTCTACATGGGACTGAAGTAAGCTCTCTAAATGTAGGTGACAGCTAGGTAGCTTGATCTGTTGGTAGGGGGAGCTGGCATGGGACTAGGACTTAACCTGGGTACACTAACTGGCTTTTTGGAGCCTATTCCCTATGTTGGGATACCTTGCTCAGCCTTGATACTGGTGGTGTGGGGAGAAGGAGGGATAACTGGGGCTAGTATGTAAGATTTTAAAAAATTAAATAATAAAAATAGTACCATGTTAATAAGCTGAAATTATTCCCTGGAAGATTATATGATCACAAATTTTCCACGATGCAGTAGTATGTCAAAATTTCCCTGAGGATGAGCAGATGGAAATTCACCGACACTGACATCTGATGTGTCCATGATGGTCTCATCTGCTGCCACTAAAATATCCTGCGGGGTTAGTGATCTACATTTTACCCTGCAGTTCTATGTATACTTACAATGAAGTCCCTGCATCATATTTTCAGTCCTCCTTAGAGACTATTACTCAACTTGGTCGTGTGATTTCTGTATTCTCTTTTGTTAGAATAGACCTTTTTTTACCTAGTGTGACTAATGAGCAGAAGTTTAAGGTAACCTCCCACTAACAGAGTGGGTGTGGATAAACCACAGGGAAGATCTCTTTGCCTCCATTTTCCTGCCTGACCCTGTATCTAACAGTGACAGTGAGTGAGGTAAGGGACATCGCAGGCTGTTTCCTCCTGGCTCTAAAAGTCCCAGTTCTAGCCTTCAGATTATTTTTCAGACCAGTATACAAACTAAGTTTCATAGTTGTTTTCTTTTTTTTCAACCAAAGAGAGCAAGAGAAATTGGTGATAAATTTCAAAATATAAATTAAAAAAACAGAAAAATGACAAAACTCACACTTATTTCTGAAGTAGGATGACATCAAAACAATTTAGTTGTGCCGAACAGAATTCCCAGGTAAAGTCCCTGGAGA